TTTTATCACCGTCTGACCACTAACATGTGAAAACAAAAGTAGTGTGGCTAAAAAGTTACTGTACATGCTGGGAGTATTCCATCTGGTTTATCATTGATTTATAAAAAAAATCTATATACAAATACTTCTAAATTTAGTATGATTTTGAAATGCTCTCTATTAATTGTAGTTAATGTTGGAGATTACATCCAGGCTGTACTGGACCGAAACCTGGCGGAGAACATCTCCCGGGTGCTCTACCCCAATGACAATGTAAGTACACACACCTTTCAATGCTATAAAACACTTGGTGAGGTGTCTGTGTGTGCCTGATGGTGTGAATGTGCAGAGAGAGAGGACAGAGAGCAAGAATTTGTGATATGTGTATTAGATACTAAAATATCATTTTGAGTGTCATGTGTATATTTAGACTATGTAGATTCTGGTATGCAACATGTGCTTTAGCTCTCTGGCATAAGCAGATTGAAAACTCTTATCTTATGCAATAGTGCCACAGATATGTGTAATGCAATGAGGAAGTATGAAACGGCAATATGGAGTCCTGAGCAACACAATTGGCTTATATGTCATGATACACTAGTGTATATTAATATTTTTCTTACAGCTACTGTATAATACAGGCAGAAAACACAATGCTTAATTCTATTAGAAAAACTGACAGAAAATGAAATGTTTTGTATTTGTAAAGCTTTCAGTGTGAATGACTTTAATATTAATTAATTTCTTTGTATGCGCATGTGTTAGTTTTTTGAAGGGAAGGAGCTCCGTTTGAAGCAGGAGTACTTTGTGGTGGCTGCTACTCTGCAGGACATCATGAGACGCTTTAAATCTTCAAAGTTTGGCTGCAGGGATCCCGTGCGCACCTCTTTTGAGGCTTTCCCTGAAAAGGTGATAATACATTAAAGATGTTTAATTGGTTGCTGTTTTTAAATCTGACAAAATTCTTGTTCGAGTCAACCTATATAATATCCCCCCAAAAAGTATAATGCTTTCAAAACAACTCTCAGGTGGCAATCCAGTTGAATGATACTCATCCAGCTCTGGCGATTCCTGAACTCATGAGGAACCTGCTGGATATAGAGCAGCTGGACTGGGAAAAGGTGTGACGTCCAAGCTGTCAAACTGTGTGTTGAGATAATGGAATAATATTTACTAATAATTCATTTATTCATAGACATGCATTTACTGAAATTAGTTGATATGGGTGTTTTATGGCACAAATGAAAAGCAAACCAATTTCTTGGTGGTTTTGTTGTTCTGCATTTTTCTGCTTGGTCATTCTGACATGAATAATAGATATAGCAATGCTAATCTAAAGAAAAGTATTGTTCACACAGCCAGCCAACTTATAAATTAACAAAGGAAATTTTTTGTCAACTTTTCATGGAAATTTGGTATTTTATTTGTTTCAATTTCAATTTATTTTTATGTAATTTTTATTTTTAATAGAAGTTATCAAAATTAGTATTAAAGTGTGTGTGTGAGTACTTTGTGTTCCCTACATTATGGGGAACAAATGCCCCCACAAGGATAGTAATACCAGTAAATTTTGACCTTTTTTTGGTCGAAACAAGCTTATAAATCATACAGAATTAAGTTTTTTGAAAATCT